ACAATGATGTTCCGTGGCAGTTCGTGGTGCAGCGTGGTGCTGGTGGGAGTGGTCGTAGCTCTGGTCGTGTGTGTGGGCGTGGGTGAGGCTATCCCTCCACCCATCTGCCTCAACCAGCAGCTGCCCCTCAGCGCCTACGCTAAGAAGCTATGCGTTGCCCTAGCTAACATCTCAGAGTTCTCCAGGGCAATGGAGGAATATCTAGATGCTCAAGGTGGGCACCTTCCTCATTTTACATATTTAATTAAGGAAAGTGGCAGTCTCAGTGGATAGAGACCATGCTGCGATTAGCGACTGGTGGATCGAGCTTCCACTCCACAACAGCTCCTAATTAAGATATAAACAGTTGTTCTAAGCAGACAGCCTTGGTGTGAACTTCCAAGTCCTCTGTTATCTGTTTCTTCCAGATATTCGTCGCGCTTTCTCTTTCTCTATATATCTCTCTCTCATCAATACGTCATATCCCTCAGCCATCCCTCCTCCCTCCCTCAGATTCAACACTGGCATGTCATCCCCTTTCTCCCCTCAACCCCTGCTGACACAGAACAAACTTATTTGCCTTGCTTCCCTTCCCCTTCTCCCTCCCCGAGCCTCTTTCCCATCTACTGCCCTTCCCCGCCCTTCACCACCACCAAGGGCCCATGAATCACCTCGTGCAACAGCTAGTTGCGTCGTTAGGACCTTGTCCACGTAATTAATGTCGATATTATGGCGGTGACAAGGTTGTAAACAACTCTCTATCCTTCGTTTTGTTTGTTCATTGCTTGTTTATTTCTATTTGTTTATTAGTCTGCCACCTTATATCATCACTTTTGTTGTTTTAATCAGCTCCAAAATAATATTCACTTATATATATTAATTTTTGTTTTTCTAAAAAAATTTATTTTTGCCCTTGTTAAATTTTAAGTGAACTATTTTGGTTGAAGTTTTCTCACGCCAGAGGGACACTTCTCGCTTTATTACTTACCTGGCAGTCATTTATTTCACTTTTGGGAGCAGTGCGTCTCGTGTATGCAAATTGCTGCCTGCAAGTAATGTGAAGCCCTGGAAAACACATGTTAACTTTCACGAGAGGCTTAACTTACCCTTCTGAGTCTCATAAGAATCTCGCACCAGCCTCACTAAGTTCCACACAATGGGGAAGAGATGGGGAGAGAGATAGAGACCAGGGCTAGAGAATACAAGGACAAGACTAGAGAGGGGGTAGAAGGATACAAGGATAAGACTAGAGGGAGTAGAAGGATACAAGGATAAGAACAGAGGGAGTAGAAGGATACAAAGATAAAAATAGAGGAAGATGGAACACTTGAGAGTACAAGGGATAGGCAGACAGCAGGGGACTTGGGAGTCCAGAGCGAGGCTCTGCTGAGAAATACAATAACGACTTTTACCTAGGTTATGCACTATAATGTATTATCTAGGTGTATGAGTGCAAGGAGGGAAAACCAGGAGGAAGAAAAGAATGGAGGAGGGAAGAGAAAAAAGGTGAGGTTAAGGCTGGAAGAGGTCGTCTTGTGAACAAATGTTATGATTTAATTGTGTCTGAAGCTCTTATTTCTCTCTCTTTCTCTTCCTCTCTCTCTCTCTCTCTCTCTCTCTCTCTCTCTCTCTCTCTCTCTCTCTCTCTCTCTCTCTCTCTCTCTCTGCACGTATTCCCCCACCCACTCCTCTTTCTTTCCCCTGCCCAACCTCTTCATAAACCCCTTCCCTAACCTCTCTTTCTCTCTCCCTCCGCTCCCTAACCCCTCCCACCCCTTACTCTCTCCCACTATAATCGACATATCTCCCATAAGAACAATTTAGCTGCACATGTAAACTACCTCAGTAAAAACAAAGGTTGTTTATGTAGTCTCTTGGAGATGAAAAAACCCAGTACTGAATATCCCAGTACTGAATATCCCAGTACTGAATATCCCAGTACTGAATATCCCAGTACTGAATATCCCAGTACTGAATATCCCAGTACTGAATATCCCAGTACTGAATATCCCAGTACTGAATACCCCAGTACTGAATATCCCAGTACTGAATATCCCAGTACTGAATATCCCAGTACTGAATATCCCAGTACTGAATATCCCAGTACTGAATATCCCAGTACTGAATATCCCAGTACTGAATATCCCAGTACTGAATACCCCAGTACTGAATATCCCAGTACTGAATATCCCAGTACTGAATATCCCAGTACTGAATATCCCAGTACTGAATATCCCAGTACTGAATACCCCAGTACTGAATATCCCAGTACTGAATATCCCAGTACTGAATATCCCAGTACTGAATACCCCAGTACTGAATATCCCAGTACTGAATATCCCAGTACTGAATATCCCAGTACTGAATATCCCAGTACTGAATATCCCAGTACTGAATATCCCAGTACTGAATATCCCAGTACAGAATATCCTAGTACAGTGATTGAATATCCCAGTACCGAATATCCTAGTACTGAATATCCCAGTACTGAATATCCTAGTACTGAATATCCCAGTACTGAATATCCCAGTACTGAATATCCTAGTACTGAATATCCCAGTACAGAATATCCTAGTACAGTGATTGAATATCCCAGTACAGTGATTGAATATCCCAGTACAGTGATTGAACATCCCAGTACAGTGATTGAATATGGTATAAACCTTGGTAATAAATACCGACAAGTTGGTTTAGTGATTGAATATCCCAGTACAGTGATTGAATATCCCGGTACAGCGACTGAATATTCCAGTACAGCATTTGAGTATCCCAGTACAGTGACTGACTCTCCCAGTACAGTGACTGATTATCCCTGTACAGCGATTGAATATCCCAGTACAGCATTTAAATATCCCAGTATAGCGACTGAATATCCCAGTTCAGCATTTGAAGATCCCAGGAGAGGGATTTAATATACCAGTGACTGAATATACCAGTACAATGACTGAATACACCAGTACAGTAACTGAATATACCAGTACAGTGACTGAATATACCAGTACAGTAACCGAATTTACCAGTACAGTAACTGAATATACTAGTACAGCGACTGAATATACCAGTACAGCGATTGAATATAGCAGTACAGTGACTGAATATACCAGTACAGCGACTGAATACACCAGTACAGCGATTGAATATACCAGTACAGTGACTGAATATACCAGTACAGCGACTAAATATACCAGTACAGCGATTGAATATAACAGTACAGTGACTGAATATACCAGTACAGTGACTGAATATACCAGTACAGTGACTGAATATACCAGTACAGCGATTGAATATACCAGTACAGCGATTGAATATACCAGTAAAGTGACTGAATATACCAGTACAGCGACAGAATATACCAGTACAGCGACTGAATATACCAGTACAGTGACTGAATATACCAGTACAGCGATTGAATATACCACTACAGTGACTGAATATACCAGTACAGTGATTGAATATACCAGTGCAGCGATTGAATATACCAGTAGAGTAACTGAATATACCAGTACAGTGACTGAATATACCAATATAGTGCCTGAGTATCCCAGTACAGTGAGTGAATATACCAGTATGGCGACTGAATATACCAGTACAGTGGCTGAGTATACCAGTACAGCGACTGAGTATACCAGTACAGTGGCTGAGTATACCAGTATATCTTTAGTATCAGGGTAGCAAACACTGAGTTGTCCATCACAATGTAATATATTATCCAGGTATAACATCTTAAGAATCTAGTTACAGTGTCCTATTATCCAGGTACAACATCTTAAGAATCTAGTTACAATGTCCTATTATCCAGGTACAACATCTTAAGAATCTAGTTACAGTGTCCTATTATCCAGGTACAACATCTTAAGAATCTAGTTACAATGTCCTATTATCCAGGTGTAACATCGTAAGAATCTAGTTACAATGTCCTATTATCCAGGTACAACATTTTAAGAATCTAGTTACAATGTCCTATTATCCAGGTACAACATTTTAAGAATCTAGTTACAATGTCCTATTATCCAGGTACAACATCTTAAGAATCTAGTTACAATGTCCTATTATCCAGGTGTAACATCGTAAGAATCTAGTTACAATGTCCTATTATCCAGGTGTAACATCGTAAGAATCGCAGTGCAGCATCTCAGTATGCTGGTTCAACAGTAGATGTAAATATAACTTGTGGATCAAGTGAGTGAAAGGACCGCTAGCAGAAACAAACAAGCCTGGCTAAAAATACAAACCATATCCTTGGAAATGGAGAGAAGTAGAAAAACATATTAAAAATGGCATAGTAGAAGCAAAAACTGAAACTTACTACACACACAAATCAAGAGGAAGGTATGTTAGGGATAAGAGAACACATGGTCAATTAATGAGATATTTTATTTTGCCAACGTTTCGCTCTCCATGAGTTTTGTCAAGCCGCGAAACGTTGCCACAGTAAAATGTCTAATTAGTTGCATATGTATCCTTTTACCTAACATACTGTCGGTAATTCTACCAACATTATTACAAGAGGAAGGTAACAATTGCGAGTCAAGTGCTTGAAGGCTGACGAAAGATGGGAGTCTTCTCGAGGAAAATGATAAAGATATCAGGAAGTATCAAACAGAGGGTTTCAGAGAGGCTTCACAACCGAAGAGAAGACAATGACAAAAAGAGTGTGGAAAGTTGCGTACGTAAAGAAGTAGTTATATATCAAACAGAAATGGACATATGAAAGCACAGTAACATCTGAAAAATAAAATAGCTTTAAATGCTGAAAAAGTGAGTGACAACAAAAGTCGTGTTGCGATCAAACACTAGACACACAAAGGTTATCAGACACGATTAATATAATTCCAGTATTCAAGAAAAGTAAGGCACAAGCGAACTTAAATTACACACCAGTAACCTTAATACGCATCACATGCGTATTAAGGTCACTGGTGTTACAGCTCTAGTGGAGAACCTTGAAAGTACACTTAATCGACACGGGAGGGTCTCGTCCACTCATACACTCGAGTAAGGAAAAAAGTAAAAAAAAGATGTATTGGACAGACGGGAGAGAGTATTATTTTTTTTAGTGGGATTCAATTGAGGTTGTCTTTGAACTGCTGTAAGTCCCAAGTGTGAGGAATATTGTATCAGACAAGAGTCCATATGGTCACTGTTCCTGTCAATTATTGTGTAGATAGATATTTTCTAGATAGATATGCATGGATAGATAGTTTCATGCATGCATGTAAAGAGAAAGAGAGAGAGAGAGAGACTGAGAGAGAGAGACTTCTGTTTATATGTTAAGTATTCTCCAGCCTTTCCCCGTGTGGTGCGAGGGACCATGCACAAGACCTGACAACACAGTAATGTACAATCTGCTCACCTCCCCTTTCCTGTTTAATTTTAATCATTAAATCAGAGAATTCAAAGAGGTTAATTAACCCCGATATCCCTTCCCGGAAAATACCACTCTTCCCTCTTCTCGGGAAAAACCATCTTCGCCCCTCTCGCATAAGACCTTTTTCGCTCCTATCACATAAAACACTTACCTTCTTCGCCCCTCTCACATAAAACACTTACCTTCTTCGCTCCTATCACATAAAACACCTACCTTCTTGTCCCTCTCACATAAAACACTTACCTTCTTGTCCCTCTCACACAAAACACTTACCTTCTTGTCCCTCTCACATAAAACACTTACCTTCTTGTCCCTCTCACATAAAACACTTACCTTCTTGTCCCTCTCATACAAAACACTTACCTTCTTGTCCCTCTCACATAAAACACTTACCTTCTTGTCCCTCTCACATGAGACACTCTTCCCCTCCCAACATCTTGACAGTAACTCTCAAGTAAGAGCAACTCCAACACTGCTGGTAGTAAACCTTGAAAGCTGCAGTAGTTACTGCAACCATAACGGAATGTTTGATTTCATCATGGCCCTGCTGAAGTCTCTCAGCTCAGGCTGACATTTCATGACCCCATATTTGTAACCCATCTTGCTGATGGAATTTGACAGGAAAACATAGCTGACTTTTGTTACCCCAGTGTAGCTATCATATAGAAACGGTTAAACACAGTGCGGTTGGTTCCATAATGTAGCTCGTATTTCCTAGGGCAGCCGCACACTGCAGGTGTTCTCACAATGAAACTACCAAATAGAATAGGGTAACAGCACACTGCAGGTCTTCCCATAATATAACACTTAAACACAATAGGGTAGCTGCACACTGAATGTACACACCATGTAAATACTTTATATAACTGGGTACCCACACACTGAGGGTTCCACAATGGAGTTATCATATAGACTAGTATAGCCGCATACTGTGGCTATTGCCACTTTGTATCTCTCATATAAGATATGGTATCCATACACCGCAGGTGTATTCAATTATTTGACAAATATATACGAATTCTGACACACCTTATTTGTTGTCGTTGCAGCCATCAAGAACAGCATGCCTGTGAACGAGCCCGAGGTCAAACGACAAGATCTAGACCACGTCTTCCTGCGCTTCGGACGGTCCCAGTAACAAGTGAAGACGAAGGGGCTCGCTGAAGGACGAGACTCACGAGATCGCTCGCGCTGAAGAGCAAGAGAAAAAATGTTACTCTGCCAATCATTTTTAGCCTCTGTTGATGCTACTTCTGAATGGCTCTTGTAGTTCATGTCTTTACCTATGTATAATGACCTCTTAATTATCTAGACCAAAAATGGCTGGCATTGTTGCATAAACACTTTACCTATGTTAATTTTTTTTTAATATTACGCCTCCAAAGAAAACAATTTATGTGTGTGATTTTTATTTGTATTAAACTAAAGCCTATTTATAGATACAGATATATAAATATATATTTATGTTTTTTATCTAATGTACAATATCTTTAGAATATTATCTTTAGAATATTACAAATAAAGCTGAATCTCCCTACACCCACACTGTTTTGTTTGATCTGCTGGATCACCGTGTCATACATGTGCCATAAGTTTACATGCATAACTACTGCAACAACCAGAAATACCAGAATACTGTAACTAACAATCTGATCTATTATTATTACTATTATTATCTCTGGTATTATTATTATTATTATTATTATTACCACTGGTATTATTATTATTACCACTGGTATTATTATTATTACCACTGGTATTATTATTATTACCACTGGTATTATTATTATTACCACTGGTATTATTATTATTACCACTGGTATTATTATTACCACTGGTATTATTATTACCACTGGTATTATTATTATTACCACTGGTATTATTATTATTACCACTGGTATTATTATTATTACCACTGGTATTATTATTATTACCACTGGTATTATTATTATTACCACTGGTATTATTATTATTACCACTGGTATTATTATTATTACCACTGGTATTATTATTATTACCACTGGTATTATTATTATTACCACTGGTATTATTATTATTATTACTGATATTATTATTATTATTGGTATTATTATTATTATTTTTATCTTTAAGTAGAAGTGCTAAGCCATAAGTGCCACAGAACGCCTGAGGAATAATCAAGGAATCTTCTAGGTAGATGGCGACACGTTATCAATTACACCAAGAACAGGTAAAATATATTAAAACAATATATTTTACAATTATTGTTGAAAAGACCATATGGTGGCAGGACATCTGGTACTAATAGACACCCGTCAAACTTATTTCTTTCATCAGAAAATTCTGATGCATTATAGTTCTGGCTGTTTATGGTGTGACTGATAGCACATATACCTTCCCCATTAAGGAACGGGTCCCTATACCCAGACATTGTGTACTGATAATTTATTTTTCAAATGGAGTGAAAAAGCTAGCTTCAGCACGTCAGCGGATGCTTACCCAATGAGCGGGTTATCTTAAGAAAAGACACGCTAATAAAAAATGTCCTAGTTCTCCTTGTGTTTCCTGACGAATCTTACATAACCTACTTCTCCTGACGAATGACACACTGGATTAACTCTTCGTATACCACTACTACCACCACCACTACTACTACTACTACTACTAGTACTACTAGTACTACTACTACTACTACTGCTACTACTACTACTACTACTACTACTACTACTACTACTGCTACTACTACTACTACTACTACTATCACTCACTACTACTACTCTACCACTCTACTACTACTACTACTACTACTACTACTGCTACTACTACTACTACTACTAACCACTACTACTACTGCTACCACTACTACTACTATACTACTACTACCACCACTACTACTACTGCTACCACTACTACTACTACCATTACTACTACTACTACTACTACTACTACTACTACTACTACTACTACTACTACTACCACTACTACTACTGCTACCACTACTACTACTACTACTACTACTACTACTACTGCTACTACTACTACTACTACTACTACCACTACTACTACTGCTACCACTACTACTACTACTACTACTACCACTACTACTACTGCTACCACTACTACCACCACTATACTACTACTACTACTACTACTACTACTACTACTACTACTACTGCTGCTACTACTACTACTACTACTGCTACTACTGCTACTGCTACTACTGCTACTGGTACTACTACTACTACTACTACTACTACTACTACTACTACTACTACTACTACTACTACTAGTACTACTACTACTACTACTGCTACTGCTACTACTACTACCACTACTACTACTGCTACCACTACTATTACTACTACGACCTACGTCCCATCCCCTCCTGACTTGCTCGCTTCCCTCATAACTGTTATGTACTACTAGGTCATTAGACATACTGCATGGCCTGCTATAACACTGTGAGATTACTAGATGTGAGTATTAAAATGCTAAATATGCCATGACAAGTATATTTCACACTCCTTTGCATACATTTTGGAATTCTCATTCCCGGAAGTATTGGTGGTTACAATTATAACCTTAATTTTAAAGGGGCGGACCGGTAAGCCAGCGGAAGGCCTCGTTCAGATGACCAAAAGCTCCAGCTGTGGGTCATCATATGACTAAAACCAGCATCAGGAAACACTTGTCCTGTTACATCTGCGGTCATCATATGACTAAAACCAGCATCAGGAAACACTTGTCCTGTTACATCTGCGGTCATCATATGACTAAAACCAGCATCAGGAAACACTTGTCCTGTTACATCCTGACAAAACTTACCTAACTTAACCTCAGTCCCGGAGGCCCCAGCAAACGATCGTTGTATTATGATCTGGGTTTATTTTACATGAGTTAACATTTATTTATTGTTACATTTTTAAGAAGAGGTTTCGAATCAGTGGTGTGTCATTCCTGATATCACCTTCCCGGTGTGTTATCCAGCCACAGGTAGCACGTCAGGCTGGGAGTGGTATCCAGTAAGCTACAGGTAGCACGTCAGGCTGGGAGTGGTATCCAGTAAGCTACAGGTAGCACGTCAGCCTGGGAGTGGTATTCAGTAAGCTACAGGTAGCACGTCAGGCTGGGAGTGGTATCCAGTAAGCTACAGGTAGCACGTCAGCCTGGGAGTGGTATCCAGTAAGCTACAGGTAGCACGTCAGGCTGGGCGTGGTATCCAGTAAGCTACAGGTAGCACGTCAGGCTGGGAGTGGTATCCAGTAAGCTACAGGTAGCACGTCAGGCTGGGAGTGGTATCCAGTAAGCTACAGGTAGCACGTCAGCCTGGGAGTGGTATTCAGTAAGCTACAGGTAGCACGTCAGGCTGGGAGTGGTATCCAGTAAGCTACAGGTAGCACGTCAGCCTGGGAGTGGTATTCAGTAAGCTACAGGTAGCACGTCAGGCTGGGAGTGGTATCCAGTAAGCTACAGGTAGCACGTCAGGCTGGGAGTGGTATCCAGTAAGCTACAGGTAGCACGTCAGGCTGGGAGTGGTATCCAGTAAGCTACAGGTAGCACGTCAGGCTGGGAGTGGTATCCAGTAAGCTACAGGTAGCACGTCAGGCTGGGAGTGGTATCCAGTAAGCTACAGGTAGCACGTCAGCCTGGGTGTGGTATTCAGTAAGCTACAGGTAGCACGTCAGGCTGGGAGTGGTATCCAGTAAGCTACAGGTAGCACGTCAGCCTGGGAGTGGTATCCAGTAAGCTACAGGTAGCACGTCAGGCTGGGAGTGGTATCCAGTAAGCTACAGGTAGCACGTCAGCCTGGGAGTGGTATCCAGTAAGCTACAGGTAGCACGTCAGCCTGCGAGTGGTATCCAGTAAGCCACAGGTAGCACGTCAGCCTGGGAGTGGTATCCAGTAAGCTACAGGTAGCACGTCAGCCTGGGAGTGGTATCCAGTAAGCCACAGGTAGCACGTCAGCCTGGGAGTGGTATCCAGTAAGCCACAGGTAGCACGTCAGCCTGGGAGTGGTATCCAGTAAGCTACAGATAGCACGTCAGCCTGGGAGTGGTATCCAGTAAGCTACAGGTAGCACGTCAGCCTGGGAGTGGTATCCAGTAAGCTACAGGCAGCACGTCAGGCTGGGAGTGGTATCCAGTAAGCTACAGGTAGCACGTCAGCCTGGGAGTGGTATCCAGTAAGCTACAGATAGCACATCAGCCTGGGAGTGGTATCCAGTAAGCTACAGGTAGCACGTCAGCCTGGGAGTGGTATCCAGTAAGCTACAGATAGCACGTCAGCCTGGGAGTGGTATCCAGTAAGCTACAGGTAGCACGTCAGGCTGGGAGTGGTATCCAGTAAGCTACAGGTAGCACGTCAGCCTGGGAGTGGTATCCAGTAAACTACAGGTAGCAGGTCAGCCTGGGAGTGGTATCCAGTAAGCTACAGGTAGCACGTCAGGCTGGGAGTGGTATCCAGTAAGCTACAGGTATCACATCAGTCTGGGAGTGGTATCCAGTAAGCTACAGGTAGCATGTCAGCCTGGGAGTGGTATCCAGTAAACTACAGGTAGCACGTCAGCCTGGGAGTAGTATCCAGTAAGCTACAGGTAGCACGTCAGGCTGGGAGTGGTATCCAGTAAGCTACAGGTAGCACGTCAGGCTGGGAGTGGTATCCAGTAAGCTACAGGTAGCACGTCAGGCTGGGAGTGGTATCCAGTAAGCTACAGGTAGCACGTCAGGCTGGGAGTGGTATCCAGTAAGCTACAGGTAGCACGTCAGGCTGGGAGTGGTATCCAGTAAGCTACAGGTAGCACGTCAGCCTGAGAGTGGTATCCAGTAAGCTACAGGTAGCACGTCAGCCTGGGAGTGGTATCCAGTAAGCTACAGGTAGCACGTCAGCCTGAGAGTGGTATCCAGTAAGCTACAGGTAGCACGTCAGGCTGGGAGTGGTATCCAGTAAGCTACAGGTAGCACGTCAGGCTGGGAGTGGTATCCAGTAAGCTACAGGTAGCACGTCAGCCTGAGAGTGGTATCCAGTAAGCTACAGGTAGCACGTCAGGCTGGGAGTGGTATCCAGTAAGCTACAGGTAGCACGTCAGGCTGGGCGTGGTATCCAGTAAGCTACAGGTAGCACGTCAGCCTGAGAGTGGTATCCAGTAAGCTACAGGTAGCACGTCAGCCTGAGAGTGGTATCCAGTAAGCTACAGGTAGCACGTCAGCCTGAGAGTGGTATCCAGTAAGCTACAGGTAGCACGTCAGGCTGGGAGTGGTATCCAGTAAGCTACAGGTAGCACGTCAGGCTGGGAGTGGTATCCAGTAAGCTACAGGTAGCACGTCAGCCTGAGAGTGGTATCCAGTAAGCTACAGGTAGCACGTCAGGCTGGGAGTGGTATCCAGTAAGCTACAGGTAGCACGTCAGGCTGGGCGTGGTATCCAGTAAGCTACAGGTAGCACGTCAGCCTGGGAGTGGTATCCAGTAAGCTACAGGTAGCACGTCAGCCTGAGAGTGGTATCCAGTAAGCTACAGGTAGCACGTCAGGCTGGGAGTGGTATCCAGTAAGCTACAGGTAGCAC